GCCAGCATAGCAGCAGTCTCTGCATCAGTAGACCTCAACATACACAAAGGGAAAACCAAGGTCCTTAAACACAACACGGAGAACAACAATCCAATCACTCTTGATGGCGAAGCTTTGGAAGATGTAGAATCCTTCACATACCTGGGAAGCATCGTCGATAAACAAGGAGGTTCAAATGCAGACGTAAAGACAAGGATTGGCAAAGCCAGATCAGCATTTCTTCAACTGAAGAACATATGGAACTCAAAACAACCATCAAACATTATCAAAGTCAGAATCTTCAATACGAACGTCAAGGCAGTTCTACTGTACGGAGCTGAAACTTGGAGAACTACAACAACCACCATCAAGAAGGTACAAGTATTTATCAAAAGCTGTCTACGCAAGATACTCAATATCTGTTGGCCGGATACCATCAGCAACAGCTTTTTGTGGGAGATAATCAACCAACTTCCAGCTGAAGAGGGAATTAAGAAAAGACAATGGAAATGGATAGGACATACATTAGATAGGAAGTCTAGGTCATCTGCGAAGTCTAAATCGTCTAATTGGTTCTGAGCTGTCCATTGTATGCCGTGTTTTCCCTCAGATGTCGAAATCTCTCCCTGTTCATTGCTCATTATGAGTTTGTGGCTAGCTGTCAACCTATTGTAGTTTCTTATTGAAATTCCACTACAATAATGTTCTTGTTAATCTATTTTAGTAAACACACATCTTCGAATGTCATAATATAATAATATTTTTATTATTTATTGTAGCGTACCTTAGTCGAACCAGCTAGAATACACTATTGCTTGAGTGTATTGGTATAATATAAGTGAATTTATACTAAATGTATGATAGATTAGATAACATTAAACATTTAGTGTAAACAAGAACATTACTATAGTCGAATTTCAATAAGAAACATACAATCTTTTATCTCTAATCAGTGCTGATTATGTGTGTGTGTGGCTAGCTGTTAACATATTGCAGTTACATACATTGTATTATGCTGATTGATAACATTGTCAACATTTATAACAAAACACAATTTCTAATCCGATAATTTACTTACCATAGTACACGTTCTACAAGTATAAACAAGCGTTACATTACGATGAAATGACAATTCTTAGTATAATTCATTCAATATACTAATCCGGGTTGTATTCCAGTTGTAGTGAAGAAGAACACCAGTGGGGACAATCAAGCGTATTCAGGAAATTACAGAACGAATTAGTAAAATCTAACAACCATATAGTAAATCGTTAATCAGCAAAATAACAATCCATCATATCAAACTTGACTATTCATGTTGCAAACATCAATCAATTGTGTGACATTTCATTATTCATGTGCTTCCATTCAAATTGCACTGTGTTCTCGCTCTTCTTTTCTTGATCTTTCCCCATCTTCTACTGCCAGACACTACGTTTCTAACTCGCGTCATATACTATTTATTTCTACATAAGTAGCACACACCACATAGTGACTAAAATGAGAACAGAATACACATCAAACCATCAAATATTCACTGTTTATCGCTGTTTCATCTATTTCTATTAGAATAGAATGTTATACATTAGATTGATTCTATTTAATACAAAGTTCATAAGCTACTTAATGACAGCATGTGCTTTTAAAGCATAACATTAACAAATGTACTCCATCAATGAGAATTCATTTCAATCAAAGTCATGTACTAAAACCATAGTTATCAAACACTTTGTGATATTTAAATTATCATCGTCAGAGACTTCTCTTAACGGTGATGTTATTGTCAATAATCTTAAATATTTGTTTATAAGCATTATATTTTCCATTCTTATTCGTTTACTGAAGCTTTATCAATGATTTATTGATGAACCTTTATGAACAGTTTGATGAAGCAGTGCAGGATTTATGACGCCATATGAAAATGGGTGATTGTAACTAAACCTGCTAGCTTGTGATGAGTATGTAATCATGTTTACTGCTAGCTTGATTAGTATAAATTAGATGCACAAGGTCTTCTATTTTAAAAGAGAATGTAATTTGATGAGACGTTGATTGCAATAATCCATTAGGTAAATATATTGATGAAGGTGGATGAGATTATCATAATCATTGTTTTATGTTTACGTCGGTAAACGTTGTCACCACCGCTGCTAGATGTGATTACATAAATTTATACTAGCGAATAGCTGAAGGCTAATTAAAGAACAATCCCTTGAGTACACTATCCAGCTTCATTGGGACATACTTAACTAAATAAAATTTACAAGGATCAAAGGATATAGATACGCAAATTAGGTAAACCACTCGAACGGTATAAATGAGGGAAACAAAAATATTTTGCATATTTCAGTATTTGTAGGGATTTATAGATTATTGAAACAGTAAGTTAGATATTATTGAATTGGTTCATCAGAAGTGTCGAGATATTTGCCAACAAAAGACACTTTCTTTATGGACTAGTAAAGAACGTGACGATTGAAATGACAGGAAGAAAAGTTAAAATTAGATTCTTGTACTGATTATGACTTTCATTCAACATCAATTAGGTTTTGTGCTAATGAGATATGACAACTTGGACTGATGTATATATATGCCTGATCCTACGTTGTAACTGACTGACGTTTTTCGGAATTCAATGTGATGATTACTCAATGTAGTTTTTGTTTCTGTGTACCAGTGTGACATTTTATCCTCTATAACATACGATATTCTTGTATTAAGTTGACATAAACTACACTCACAGTGTGATTTTCTATAACCAAGTATTTTTCATATATGTGAATTGATCCTAATTAATAATCATAATGTATGTACAAATCAATATATAAATGAGTGTATTTCCGACTAGAATAGACGTTGTAGTGCTTTGTGATTAACAAGTCTTCACTTGTATCAGTCTTTGTCTTCTTACTTTCTCATCATGAGGATTGCAGTGGTTCATCACTTTACAAGTACAAGTGATAAGTGACTCGGACATAACAGTCAGCGACGATCAGATATAACAAATAGTATTCATTCAAGAAGACATATCAACAATACATCCAGCTTGGGAAAAATCAGTATGCAGCTAGTTCAAATCAGGTAATTACAGCATGAAATCTACTGTCTATCAGCAAACAATGAATTCCATACAAATCGTTGCATAGTTTCCGTATAATCAACAGTCACATACATGTAAGATTGTTACTTTCAAGGCAGAGCTTGCAAACATTAATGTTTTACTTTCTTCATATTTTACGACATTACTGTTGAACTAATCCATTTGCATGCATTTCATTTATAAAGGAATACTGACTGACCGTGTGAGTTAAATGATGTTTGTAATTTTCATGTAGAAACCTGATCTACACTTTCGAGTTGAGTAATATCAAGTTGAATGTAGATTATTTCGTGGCTGAAATTCACTAATTTGCTTCTTTAGTTTTCCAGCAAATATTAAATTTGAAGTTTATTCAATAGAAATTGTAAAAGGTATCCTTAATTACCTGTTTGCTAATATTTAGCGGTAAGCAGTTAACCGTTTTGTTGAATTCTACACTTCAATAATTTAGAATTCCAACTATGTCTTCAGTTAAACAAGAAACCATGTATGCGAATTATTGCAACAATCTTGATACATTTGAGCCATACATACTACACTTTGACCACAGTTGATTAGGGTTCCACTTTTGTGGCTTTCTACTGTATCAATTATTGTCCGAATTGAATGATTATTCACATTCTTTATCGACTGATCAACTTGTTTCATTCAATAACGTTGAGCTAAACGGTTCACGCATAGAGTTTTTATTCTCCATCGGATTAACTTCATTCCATCTAATAAATAAAACTAATACTTAAAGGCTTATTTTCCATCTGTTGGAAAGATGCTCTGAATATCCAGTTTATGCACAAACTGTCATCTTCACACTCATTCTGAATGTCTTCCGAGTATAACCTGTTGGCTAAATCGATATGATACAAAAGGCAATCTCAACTAAAGCTTACGTTAAACTTTAGAATGTCAGGGAGTGAAATATATGCAGTTCGTCATCCGATTTTATATCTTTGACTAAAAATGCAATGCATTAAAGTATCTTGAAAAACGGTAGAGCAAGATCAATCTTTGATGAGTTCAGTAATCTGATCTAAGTGTACAGGCTAATAGAACAAATGAAGACTGGTTGATGTGTAATGAGTTCCATATTCGTGAACTGAAGTGAATAGATTTATTTCTTGATCTATATGATTGTGATCTGTTTCATCAATATTGTTTTTAATTTAGACATAATTTTATAAATAACATATACTAGATGTTTCTGTATACCTGTTCTTACCACATGAGTCTATTTCTAAATTATATGAAGGTAAACAAGCCGCTCTTTAGGATTTCAGCACAAAACCGTTCTCATGTTACTTCTTTATTCATCATTCGTGTACTATCCCAAAATTTATATAAAATGGTCATAGAGATGCAATTATTGCTGCTCATTCTTCAGAATAAAAAATATTAGATGCACATCTGAGAGATCGAACTAACTAAAACCTCAAACGTTGTTTATTGTCTTAAGACATTTAACAAAATAGTTGATACATTAATCAAACGTTTAGCAGGCTTAAATTATCGTTGAATGTCAGAAAACGGTTACTCAAAATGTCTCCAAAACTTGAACATAGAGACCTCATTTTTACTACTCATTCCTTAGAATGCAAATATCAAACGAATATCTGAAAGCTCGGACTAACTGTAACCTCAAACGTTCTTTATTATCATTCATTGCAGTAGCTAACTGCAAACCTAGTACATCACTTTAATCAGCTTCATTTTGGCAATTAAACTAACAAAAGATCTACCTCAGACAAACGATTTTATGATGTCATGAGATAACAGTGAACTTTCTGAGTACATTTTTATCGTATAACTTTATTTACTAGAATTTTCGTCTCACTGAAGTCAAGAAATGATGCCGAAATCCAGAGGTTTAACTCAATGACATATGTCAGTATATTTCTAGTAGGCAACAGAAAGAAGTCTCTTGTTGTCGCAAAATATTTACTTTAAGAACATTTCACAAGTGAAATGGTTTAAGTTATCATTTAGGTAAAGGTTAGATGGAACAAGGAATAGTTATTCTATACAATCAAATGATTGTTTGCAAACTTGTAATCAACGCCTTCCATAGTACTAAACACAATGAAACATAATGTACAATTACACGACTATGTATATAAACATTAGAAAACTGTGATTAAGTGGAGAATTAAAGGGTTTGTTAAAACTTGTTTCTATAGGATACTCCAATTTTCATGGAAATATACATAAAGTATTAGGACTAAATTGTTGTTCAGGGAATGAAAGTTCATTATAGATTCACAATGGGTTGGACAAAATAATTCGACAATTGAATGTCAATGAAACTAATTTGCCGTAATGTCTAGAACTAACGTAGTAGTGAGAGAACCAACTTTCTCCATATTTCGCATCTATAATTCTTCTTCCATTGAAATTCATCAGTAATCTGCACAATACTTCGAAATGACTCTTAATTCAGCTTTCTGTAGATTATATTGAATACAAGTATCCTAGAGCTATGACTATGAATGATGAAAAATTGCTCGAAAAGATTTGTAAACTGTACTAAAATTAAACGGAAACTACTCTCAGAAGGAAACGACTATCTAGTTGAGTAATGGAACGACAGAACACCTGATGACTTTATCAAATATTACCATAGAAGTTTGTCGATTTACACTACTTTATGATTTCATATATTTCTTTGAGTTTGATCTTTGGAGTTAGCGAGTTAAAGGGACATACTAAGGGAAAGTTGTACAATGTCTTCTCTTCCACCACTGGTTAGGCTTTCAATACATAACGATTATTAGCAGATATTGTATTTGCTCAAATTAAACCCAAGATCATATTATTAGATTTTATAGAGCAAAACAATGAAGGCTTTCAATAGTCATTACAATATAAACAGCTTACCATAATCTAGTGACAAATAGAATGTTGGAAAAGAACATTGCTAGATATTTTTCATTAAAAGTAGAAACGATTTAAGAAAATGAACTCAACGAATAAACTTGATAAGACACATTCCTTATCGACTAAGTATCTCAGGAATTTGGAGAGAATGTATTCGTATAACAGGGTTTCGTAGAGTTTTACACCATAGATAATGTTCACACTGGAGCTGATGTGATTAGTTGCTGACTGAATATAACAGATACTTGTGGGAACTTAAACATCAATGACATTATGTTTTGCATTCATGTATTCATAGATCATTATAAAAGTGTCTATGAACATCTTAACAAAAATGTTAAAACAACATTAAATTCAATTTACGTCTTCTGGTCTAGATTTCTATAATAGAAATAATATATATAAATATAAATCTATTAATTTACATTACAAATGTAGACATTGAATAAAACCAATTAGATATGTTAACTCTGTTCAAGTGAATGCAAAGGAACTTTACAATCTCTTCAAATGATGAATTTCATTAAATATGGAGCACAAATATCACAGTACTTCTCAGTATTAGATTTCACTAAAGGTACTATTGTAGTGAACATAACACAGCAGGGGAAATTCGAGTATATCTATCAACAAATTACAGAACTTGTTAGTAAAATCCAACAACCATATATAAAATCGTTAATTTGCAAATTGTTCACCAATTGTCTCAAATGACTCAGAATTCTTTTGTTCTTGCATCTTCATACAAATTGCATTTGTTTTTCATTCTTTATTGTTCGATCATCTCGTCACTCTGGTGCCAGACCTTCTGTTCAGTACTCACGTCATATACTACTTATGTCTACATAAGTAGCACACGCCACACTATCGATAAAACTGATCTGTTTTTCACTTTGTTATGAACGTCGATTTTGGATAAGAACTGGACGACTCCAAGTTTACTTTTTATCTGTATTTGGATTATTTTTTTGTTTTAGTATTTCTTGAAATACTTTCTTATTTTTGGAGTTATACTCCATTATTTATTAACATTAATGACTCTTTATCATTCAAAGTTATACTAGAAATTTCGATTTCAACCATCAGTAGTAAGAATCTCCCGATATTCTGTAAAAACACCTTTTGCTGTACATACAATACTAATGAGCATAGTATTTAGCGGCCTAATCACAAGTTAAATGTGCACATGTTAGATAAAATGAAAAATTTCTCTTAACCAGTTTATATGTTGGATAGAATACTGAAGCCAAATTAGGTGTTCAACATAAACGATGTCTACCACGAACGTGATCATGAAACGTACGACGTGTGAGTTTACAGAATGTTCAATGAATAACATTTTCCATAACGAGAAATTAAGTTTTTTTCGATAAATTGATATAAAATGTCTTTCGAAACAATGAAAAACATGTTTAATTGTATGAAACGATGGAGAAACGATGGAGAACATACTTCTTTCGATCGGTCTATTGATGAATTAAGCTGAACAGGAAGTAAATTTCAATATAAAAGAGACAATAAGTAACTTGTATGAGAACGTTTGTCTAAATTCAAATTAATAGATTCACAATAGTTGATCGCTGATTTCATGTATGACATTAAGGACAAAATTATATTTGTAAAACACTCAATGAATGAACATCTCATTCAGTAGCCAGATTTAAACTTTACAATCGAAGTAATTAAGTATCAAACAACCGGATATAAATACAAGGGTTACACATTGTTATCTCTTATCATTATAACATAGTATGGATGGTTTGTCTAGTACACGGGAAATTTATGAACTGTTGATTCATAAAAGATGAGTTCGTTCCTCATCCATTTCTCTTGAAATAGAATGATTCAGACTATCGAGTGAAATCGTTAGTTAATTGAGATTCTCACAACTACAATCTCCACCATCATAAGTTGAGTGGTTTTCCACACACTTTATCTGAATAAAGCTCTCAAATAACCATTTCATATTGAGTGTAGATTAAATTTACCTAAATCGTCCGTGAAAACATTTTGATTGGATAACTTCCATCGTATCAAAAAATTAATTATTCGTGGTGTTAAAATAAATTCTGAAATGTACTAGAAAGCTTTCAAATACCGTTGTACAACTAACTGTGAGAGAAGTCTGAATACTTCAGCTTGGCATCCGGTGTAGTTTCACAAGTGAATTGTGTGATGCATATGTATTCGATGCCCCTTTGTAACAATGTCTATTTGTTCAAATAAATAAATAAATGTTTTTTCAATGGTAGTCAAATATTGTGTTCTCGTATTTGAAAGTTCTGTTTACATAAGGATTTCATGACTTAAATTACGACAATAAAATTCTACCATACAAACGTACCACTTGGTCAAACAGTCTTGGACTAAAATAAGTAGTAAATGCTATTGATGATCAAATCTCAGGCATAGTAACCATTCACTAATAACGTGACTAAACAATCCCAAATAAATCACATCATTCATGCTCAACGGTAATATTCGAGTTTATTTTGGTAAATTTGTATTCTATACAAACTTTTCAGCTATTGAAACATTATTACCATAAAGCATCTTTCATCTGATCATCAAATGTGATCTTGTCAACTGAGTTCGATCCATCGATATTTACATATGAAATCTTTGCATATATAATTCAGAAATAGATATAGCCGTAAGTTAATAGTGTTCCAAGTAGTACACATTTATTTCATTATTGACGCTTACACCCTTCTATATGCATATAATGGTCATTGTACAAAGAACCCTATTAGGAACATCAAATTACTCACCCGGCGTTCACAGACAATCGTCTAGCAAAATAATATTTATATTTGTTAATTAAGAAATCAATAATAAATTTACTTTACTGGCAGATACAAAAGATGAACTCAAAAACAGGATACCGAATTCCTCAGTCATTAGTGTAATTCGACAACTGATATTTAGTCTGTAGTAGATAATTGAAGGAAATTTTGTGATGATTTACAACTAATAATGAGTAATTTTAATGAAACTTTTTAACATTACAGTGAAGAGTTGAAGATAAACAAAGTTTATGAGTAGAGATAAAATGTTATTTGTTAAAGAACTAGCTTATTATATATAGTTTTGCATATTCATTAAAATCTTATATCTTAAATAGGTTAATATACTACTGATTATACTTAGTTACATATCATCTATCATTTAAGAATAAATTCGAGCTTAAATCTAATACGAAGATAATTGGTAGTTAGGTCGAAATCCAAATGAGATGAACTTACCCATCAACCTCTAAAGTTAATTTGAAGAATAATGAATGTGGGTTATTTATTCAACCTGTTTTATGGTGATTTTGTAACTTCACATTCAATAGATATTCATGTTTTACTAATACAAATACATTAGATTCTACTACTATTTACATATTTATGGATGATTATCACTTTTTCTTCACGCTGAAGATATGACAATATTTATGTTGTTCGATTGTAGTTCTATATTCTCATGAAGAGAAGGCAATTCATTCATCAGAATTGACATACGGTGTGGGTAGATGGTTAAGAAATCCAGACATTCGTAACAGTTTTATCACTGAACTGTTTCTCCAATCAAGTCAACTTCAAACTTATCAAGATGGACCGGTTTACATTTTGTGATAATCGAATTAAAATTGTTTAAAGTTAATTTGACATCAGTCATGTTCACTTCATTACCTCTTTCTCTATCAAATATTACTAGTAATGCAGTATATTCATTTGACTAACGAAGACGACTAGTTACCATCCATCAAAGACTTACCCACATATGTATTGTGCATAAATGAACCAAGAACTATCATCAACGCAATGAACAGGAACATGTTTTTGGAAATTAAAGTAGTTAGAAAAATGGTGTTTATATACTACTTTAAAAAGTCAAAACAAGTTAGCTTAATAATGTAAACTATGAATCATGTGACTACATAAATGCTTCAATTTACCGAACTTTTCTCACATAATGCTTTGATTGACGGATACCATTACAAGTACAGTAATGTTACACCTTAATATTCTAATAAAACATATATTCTTACAATAACAAATATAATAAAGGCCAAAAGGTAAATGACTATGAGCATTTCGATACAAATTGAATATCACCTTTGTAATACTTCGACAACTGACTAGAGGTGCTGAAGTTTGTCAACAGATACATAAATTTATTATTCGATGAATGATTTCTCATTAGAGATTGCCATTCATGTTACCTAAATAATCATTGGAATTGTAAATCATATTCTCATCCATCCACTTTGTACACGTTTATTGGAAGGCATAATAATGATGTATCTCTCATGTTTCGTGAATTTCTATTGTTGACAACATATAAAACTGAATGACCAGCTTTGGAAATGAACTAGATGATAAATTCAGTAAATGAATCATTGTATGTATACCTTTGTAGATGTGGTGTGCTACTGATGCTGACAGATATATGTAGTACATATCATCAGTCGAAAGTGAAATGTCTAGAGGCAGAAGTTCGAAGAAAACAGAACGAGAACAAAGAAGGAATAGTATAGAAACGAAGAAAGAATGAAGTCTGAGACTATCGATTGGTATTTTGCAAATGAACTATTTTCGCTGTATCAATGCCAGATTTTACTAAGACGTTCTGTATTTTTATCATCAACTACTTTCGATTTTGACGACTTGTGTTCTCATTGACTTCATTTCTATTAAAAGTTAAGTAGCAAACAGTTAGCAGTTTACTGACTATCTAAATAGTCAATTTTATCGTTTGGTATAAGCGAGAATAGCTGACAACTAGTTGTAATCAAATTATGATGGTTAGGAGCAAGCTGCATACAAGTAGTGAAAGTGATTTTAAAGTCGATAGTTTTTTATAAAATGTCCTGATCATGTTTGTTATTCTATGCAATTCCAGTCAAACCACCAGAAGAAGAGTAGACTACCTTGTCTGACTGCAGTACTTACTTGGAAAGCGCCTGTCAGCTGTGCTCGATGCATTGTAGTGAAATCCGTCTTATGAATTCTGGATGATATTAATGATTTTCTCAGATACATTCAACTTAGTGTTGAATAATGTTTTCTTATCCACGCTGTCAAATGTCTTCCCATGATCAAGGAATTTTATGTATAGTTTCGAATTCCATTCAGCTGATTGTTCAACGATAATCTACAATGTTCGGACTGTTGATTTTGAAATTGGGCGTCTACTGCGTCTACAACACTATGTTCAAAACCTTTCCTCGTACTGACAGTAGTGTGGTGCTTGTACGGTTCTCACATTTACTCAGACCCCCTTTCTTTGATATCTTGCTGAGGTGTCCTTCTTTACAGTCCGTCGGTACTTGTTTATCGTACTAGATCTTCTTGAATAGAAGGCGAAGCATGTTTGCATTTCAATGTCTAACTTCAGTGCTTCAGCTGGTGTACTGTCAGCTCCTGCTGCTTTCTCACTCTTGATGTGTCGGACGGCTATCCTGATTTCTGCGATTGTTGGTGGAGCGACATCGGTAGGAAGGTGTGTACGTGCTGATCGATGTCCAGCGTATTCAATGGAGCTGAACTACTCATAGGTTCCTCAAATTATTCTACTCATCTCTTCCTGTGTTCTTGAACCTCAGTAATTGTCTTTCCTGCTTTTTCCTTGTATGGTCTCTCTGGTTTACTATATCTGCTAGTATCTTCGTTGTATCATATCGCTGTTTATTAGTTCTTTCTCTTACAGCTATTTCGCCGTTGTTGATAGTTCTTCCATGTGTTCCTGCTTGCCGGTTTTATGTTCTTGTTCACTTGCTTGTTTGCTTCTATGTACTCAGCTTGTGCTTGGAATTTCTCTGCTCTTGTTCGGCTGTTGTTAATTGCTTTCTTCCTGTTCTTCCTTTCTTGGATCTTGTCCACGGTTTTCATAGAAATCCGTTCAATATGATGCTTCTTGCAGCCAAGAACCTCTTAACACGTTGAAGTTAATTTTTCTTTAATATCTTTTCAGCTGTCCTCCATAGTAGATTTTTCTACCTTCAACAGATCCTGTATGACTTGGAACCTGTTGTTGAAAGTTGTCTATAATTCGTGTAGTTTGTAAGCAACTCGTAGGAAGGCTGCATTGAACTTTTGTGATGCTGTTGCTTGAGTTGTCCACTGTTTCTTTACTTTCAGTTTTAAATTTGCCACAACCAGGTGGTAATTTGAAGTTATGTCAGCTCCTCCCTTGGTTCTCAGATCTTCTATTGTCCTTCGGAATTTTTTATTGATACAAATATGATCTATCTGGTTCTCTGTGAAGGGGTCCGATTAGATCCATGAAGCTTTCTGTATACGGTTGTGCGAAAATATTGTGCCTCCTATAACCAATTTATTGAGTGCATATAAATTTGCAAATCTCTCGCCACTTTCGTTTTACTCTCCCAGTCCATGTCGTCCCATGATATCTTTATACCCAGTGTTGTCTATTCCAACTTTGATGTTTAGATCTCCCATCAGAATGGTGAGGTCCTTTCTTGAGCACTTCGCTGTGATTGATTGAAGCCTCTCATAGAACTGATCTTTATTGTCATTATTGCTATTATCAGCGGTTTGCATAACATTGGATAACATTCATTATAATTCCTTCCTTATTTGTTTCGAATGATACTTTGATGATTCTGATTCATGAGATTCCCATCCTACAAGTGCATTTCGCGCATCTTTGAAAAGCATTAGAGCGACTCCCTGAGTGTATAGAGCATTTTCCTCTTCGTTAACGGAGTACAGTGACATGTTCAATAGGTTTCGCTGATTTCCATTACTACAAATTTATATCTCCCTATTTCCATTGGTATTTGACTGGTCTTCCCGGTCTCCCACACTGCCAGGACGTTCCGTGAACTCATAAAAATTGTTGCTCTGGTTGTTAAAAAAAGCATCGGCATCGTGACTTACAACGAATCTCAGATTTCACCCTGATATGTCATAGTTCGTCCTCCAAATCGAAGGTCAGAGTTTAAATGATTTAATTTGTTAAATCTGGTTAACCTATTTTCTAACAAGATCTATTTTTACTGAATGGGTTTGACGACCCCATGCCCAAACCTCTTCCTTTACCCGGGCACGCGTTTAGCAGTAACTTTAGAAGGTCATTATTATGTCTTATTACATTGCGAAGTTATCCTTGAAATTAGGCAGTCATCAGGTCTCAGAAAGGTTTATTCCCACAATCACATTTAATACTAATCATTTCTCACACAATTAATATTGAAGATGCCACAGGTATTTTGAGTTTGACAACACTTTAACCAGTAACACTTTCAAATATGAATCGTACCCACAAAGTGAAATCAAATGACAGAAGCGAGAGGGTTCGAAGATATATTTGATAGGCTATCAATATATCGATGATCGAGTGATCAAGACTGCCTAGCGATTGCAGGGAATGTTGAGTACGGCGTTCTCATTCGAGATCCGGTGCGGATGCATGACGGAGCGCCTTCATCCAAGTGAGTCCATTAAAACTAATGTAAGACGAGTGGAAGAGCGTCAGTCTACTGAGAAATGTTTGCAGCTGAAAGTGAGTGCCTTCGATAAACAGTTTGATTGATAAGCAGCTAGCTCATCAGCAGAAGTTAAATACCATTCATAGTCATAATTAGGCTAACTGCTTAGAAAACTTATTTTTCCAAACTGATCAGCCGACTGAAACAACTGCTTACAAACCTACGATTCAAACCATCTAATGAAAAGTATCGATCATTCAGGGAGCTTAACCAATAAAATGGGAAGGCTAATATTTTCACAGTGACTATATAACTAGTCTGGGTCAAATAGTAAATATGTTAGATCGCTCTAATCACATGAGTGATTTCTGAAAAAAAGCACTAGAATTTGATGAATATTACTCTCCATCACTATGACATGCAGAGTCTCTTGGTAAAATCCGTGAACCATACAGTGAATATTTCATCTACAAAATGTTTTTCAATCGTCCTGTGTTTCCACAATAATCACTCTCCATTCTCATTCTCTTCTCTTCGATTTTCCTAATCTTCTGCTGCCAGACATTTCATTTTTGATGGATGACACATACTACTTATATCTGTCGAGATCAGTAGCACACAACAATCTTATCAGTTGATATACTGTTATGCATAAAAGTACTGTATAGTATCATTGACAGTCAATTCTGTGCAATACTGAGAAAAGGCAGAAACTGGATTCTGTGTAGTTGAAATAAAACCATAGTTGTTTTATTTCGAATTTAGTAAAATTAAATGTTACGAATGTGTTGCTAAGACTACGTTCATCTGTACGTATAAACACTAATGGAAGATAATCGTATAATGAAAAAGGACTTTATAACACTTAATGCTTATTGTCGCTTACTGTACTGAGTACATTATTATTACTATTATTATTATTATTATTATTATTATTATTATTATTATTATTATTATCAATATGAAGCATTGACACAATCTGGAATTGCTGTATAGATTGTTAAGAGAGATGTTTGTTTGTTGACGTGCTGTAAGAAATCAGCATATAAACAGATAATAGAAAGTTCTTTGATGATTTCAGATACATTCTCTTGGTTAGACAGACTACATTATAAATTCCACTACGAAAAAATCTATTCTTAGCAAATCTATTCTACAAACTTATGAATAATATGTGCATTTATATTTAGATATATTCATTGAACATTCTCTTCAGAAAACCAAAGTCATGAACGTCAAGCCATGATAGAGTGTATTATTATCCTTGAGAGAACCAACTCAATATATCTGATACGAGATCTCATAATGTCAACTGCTTCATAAAAATGTATTTATCACTACTAGTAGGAGAATGTCACAGTCCGTTGTTGAATACTTTCCAATACATACACTCTGACAATAACAAAAATAATTAAGACATTCAGAGCTTCATTTAGTGATCTATCTATATAGTAAACATGAAATTTATTCGGTTGAATATTGAGTTCCAGGTGTAGTGTTTCACCAAATAATCCTTCGCAACTTGATCTAAACAATCAGTATCATATTGAAAGTGAACTGAATAACTGTGTTTAATCCATATTTACTGATATGAAGTGTATGTCAATGAATTGAGCAAAATCTTCAGGGATTTATTTACTCGAAACATAAAGTGTAGACATGACAACATAGTTTGACCACATAGACAGTTTGCCATCTGATTTGAACACGTTTACACAGTCAGTTTATGTCTTGTTATCTTTTCGTTTAGATCATACAAAAGATTACTCAATTTCGCATCTATTGTTACGACAATTTCAGTAGAATCGAGTCTCTCGACATTCTTCTGAAATTTCGTCTTCAAACTGTCAATGTAAACCATCCGTCTCAAATGTCTTTGGATTAATCTAATAATATCAGCCTGCTATAAATCCATTTCATATGGAAGTTATCAACTAACTCAGCTCGGTGAATTTGTGGGTAGTTTGTTGATGTTTATAGCTCTGATGGAATATCCGTGAGAAGATGACCACATGTACGTTGTTTACATGCTATTTTATTCTTATGTGATTAAGCATTGTTTAGGTCTATTTGATCAAGTAATTATTTCGATGCCTCTTACTTCATGCAGACAATTCTACATTGTACCAAAATAATGATAGTGAATGAAGCTTGTAATAAATATACAACAGAAATGTTAATTGCAAACCGCAAGTCGTGAAGCATCTGTTGCGAATAACGCGTCCGTATCCCTAAAAAGAATTGGGTTACTTGCAACGGTAACATAAAAATTGATCACAACTTGCGAAAGCGTAATTGACAGAGCAGAATGTTAATGACGGCTATCAACTATCAAACAATCGAACTAAGTATATACAAATATAGAATAAGTTACATTTAGACACAGATTCAGTCAGTGAACCAAACATCAAAATAAGTGTTCCAGAAGTTGAAGGATTGTAATGACCATAACAAATACAATAAATCTAATTGGTTTTCGTGAATACATTCAGATATTACACAACAAGTAAACGTGTAACATCATACTTTACTATATTTATCAGAAACGAGTCTGTTTACTTAATATCAATAAGTAGTATAAAACAATCTACAAAATTGATTCCAACAAGATGTCCATTTATAAATCATCCTTGTACTACATGTTATAGAAAAGAGCATAAACAAAGTAATTGTAAAATCCGAAAACGCCATCTAAAATATTTAAGCCGCAAATAGCCAAAGTAACGATATTTCTCAATAGAACCGGCTCCCATAACCATAGAATGTATGTTTTTCTCAAGATTATTGTGTATGATGCCCGCTCACAGTTAGACACAGCTTTCCATATAACACTGATAAATAGAAGGACGTGTGATAAGAATGGGAGACTTCGAATATATCCAATTCAACAATCAGCTCACACTACATCCGAGGGAATTTTAAACATCGCGTGTGAGATTCGTTGTGAGGTCACAATCAAGGAGAATCTAGTAACGTTTTGGATAGTACATCCATCACTTGACTTATTAGGACTTGAATAGATAGATAAGCTGAAAATAGCGGACCATCCCTTATACTCAATCAACGTCAGTACAATGAAATTTGAGAAGAAAATCTTAGTTGATTCACAAGTGAAACCGTAAGAAGATACATTTGTGGCAGCAATTGCGACGGAAACAGAAGTACACTGAATGTTGGAAAACGCAATTTATGGACTACCAGTCACTTTCAGAGCCATCAAAGAATCTACGGCAAATGATGATATGTTAAGAGAAGCTAGGGATTACCTTCTCATCGAGTTCCCGAACCGTCGTCTTCAAGGGTAAATGTCTTATTATTTTCCCCAGCAGTACTCACTCATGATTGTCAAGTAATATATTATGTTGGGTAACAGAATCGTTATAAGAGAAACAGTTTATATAGTGCAACTTCTCAGCAGTGAGCACCCACGATCCCTCTAGCGAGATTAAAACCCAGGACCTATTTATCTAGTGCGCGAACGCTAAATAGTCCCACAATAGGACGAAACGGCCGTCCAGTGCTTCCAGGTTTTCCAAGGTAATCTACATTCGATTGACTCATGATCTCAACTATTGAAAGAAACAGTTTGATCATCTTACAACATTCACGTAATGATTTGTTAGTAAATTATTAAGTCTATCGTTATTATTCGCATTACGTAATCTGGTATTATGATCTTTCTATTACATAGGAATGTACAGTCCGTTAAGATAAAACTGACGTATGATTTAGATTGATGTAAATAAATCCATTGTAAAAATCAATTTAGATTTTGAATCTTCCAAGTCGCTGCTCAGCTTTTCTTGTATAAACACGTAAAAACTAACACGTTCTCAGTTGGTTTCATCGGTCACTTTTGATTGTTCAGTGATATAGTTCACAGGTATGTTAAAGTGAAAGTACATCCATTGACATATTAGTCCCATTTGGAATTCCCTATTCATTCAAAAGGTAGTCGTACAGTCAAATCATATTTTGGCCGAGCATAGAAAATATTCTGGGTGTGTGATGTTACAGACTGAACGATTTCACTACAAAATGTCTCACATTGGCCCACTTAGTATAACAACTCTATTTTGTTTCAATATTTACATGATTTGGCATATCTCATTATTGCTGTTTCAAGATGGATACATTATGACAAATCATATTAATTTCATGGTAACAACAGTTGTTACCTACCATCAAATGAGGTCGAATTGGATTATTTGACATATTCAGGACAGTCAATTTTTCAGAAGATCTATTTGAACTGATTGCGTGGTCAGATTATCAAATCAGATGTTGATTATCATATGGATTACTTAAATGGTTCAAGTAATCTTCGGATCCTATCCGAAGGTGTTTATGTATGTATTCTCTGAATGATTCTTTTGAATTGGTCGATTACGATGATACTAATAACAAGTAAGGCATAATGTGTTCTTTTGACGTAAATTCCGTGTTCACAAATTCACCTTTAAAAAAGACCATCGATGTTTCATGTGACTTTATATCCTCGAGCAACGCTGTACTAACTATTCCTTTCACGAAATTCTCAATGATTCGTTACTGTTATTCAGTGACCAATTCTCTTGTTCATCAATGTCATCACATACAAATAAATGTGGCGAAAACTGAGAGAACGATACCTTTATGATGGATGGTATCATTTTACAGACAATCGTCACATTGTTCAAGTAAAATTAGTTTACAAATGACAACATATCAGTTGAGTGATGCTTGAATGAACCCAACTGAAAGTATAAAACATCTTATTACAGTTTATGAGTCTTGATAAACATCTAATTAGTGCTTGAGTTAGTCATATCTAGACATCATGTTGGATATAGCTGATATGTTTCACATAAAGCAATCCATTCATCTAATAATGATCGGTAGATATTAAGAAACTGTAGTTTATATCATGTCATAGTTTGAATGTCACTCACGCGAACCATTTGTCCTAAATGCAACATATCAATCCAATCTGACATACTATAATTAACGTAGATGATTTAACTCAATAATTTACTTCAACTTCATAACTTTTTTCAAAAAATTCCACCGTATTGCGAACTGTGAATCTAGCCTGAATTCCACCGACCGATATGATTTCGGCAATAATGAACCTTATGTAATAAACCAAATTTATAACAGAAACAGTTTGACAATAACATAACCGTAAAGAGATGGCTCCGACAATGATAATTTCAATATCACAAAGTGTTTGATAACTATGGTTTTAGTACGTGACTTTGAATAATGTGATGTCGCAGTGATGGAGCACGTTTATTAATGTTATGGTTTAATACCATATACACTTGCTAAGTAGCTTATGGACATTGTGATAAATAGAATCAATCCACTGTATACCATTTCCTTCTAATCAAAATAGATTAAAAAGCAAACGTTTATATTGAGTCTGTTTGATCAAATTATTACTGTCAGTTAGATCATAAAAATAGTAGTATCCATAAACATTTACTGGATCGATATGTAATACCTTTTCATTTTAGGTACTGGAATACACATTGGAGTAGAATAACGAATGAATCCTACTAAGAAACGTTCTTTCACCGCAGTGCATAGCTCATTTAGATTAGCGGTCCAGAAAAAAAACAACATTTTCATGCTTTAAAAACTTATGGTGTGGTGAATAGTTTTTGAATTAGAAATTGTGTTTTGTTAGAATGTTGACAATGTGGTCAATCAGCACAACACAATGAATGTAAGTACTAGGTGTAGACAATTAACTACAAACTCATAATTAGCTTTGAATAGATATAGAAGATTGTGTGTTTCATACTGAAATGAGACTACAGTAGTTTTCTTGTCAATTCATATTGTAAACGTACATCTCCGAATGTAATATTAAGAGGACATATCTACGTATTTAAAGAAGTGTGGCGTGTGTTACTTATGTAGACATAAGTAGTATATGACGTGAGCACTGAACAGAATGTCTGGCGGCAGAGAGATAAGAAGATC